TTATCTATCCATTGTAGATAATGGTGTGTTGAAGTCTCCCATTTGTGTTTTTTCTGTTATCTGTTTTCAGAGATGATAATAGTTGTCTGATATATTTTGGTGCCCCTTCATTAGGTGAGTATATGTTAATGAATGTTATTTCTTCTTGAAGTATTGTCCCCTTGATCATAATGTTGTGACCGTCTGGGATTCTTTCTACCTTTTTGAGTTTGAAATCTATTTTATCTGATATAAATATAGCTGTTCCTGCCTTCTTTTTTGGTCTATTCAATTGTAGGATTGTTTTCCATCCTTTTACTTTCAGTCTATTTTTATCTTTTGTAGTTAAATGTGTTTCCTGGAGACAGCAAAATGTTGAGTTTTGTTTCTTAATCCAGCCTGCGACTCTGTGTTGTTTTATTGAAGAGTTTAGTCTGTTTACATTTAGAGTTAATATTGATATGTTAGCATCTGTATTTGCCATTTTGTTTGTCTTTTCTCTGGTTTTATTTATATTTATTTTATTTATTTTTTTGTCTTGTTTCTCTTATTTATCCCTCTGTTGGTTCTGGCTTTAGGACTCCTTGTAGTATTTTTTGGAGTGGGGGTTTAGTCGTAACAAAATTCTGGAGTTTCTTTTTGTCTGGGAAGGTCCTTATTCTTTCTTCATAGAGGAAGGAATGCTTTGCAGGATTGAGTATTCTTGGTTGGCATTTGTTGTCATGGAGTCTGTTGACTATGTCCCTCCACTCTCTCCTTGCCTGTAGTGTTTCTTCAGAGAAGTCTGATGTCAGCCTGATGGTTTTCCTTTGTATGTTATCTGTTTCTTCCCTCTTGTCAGCTTCATTATCTTTTCCTTGTCTTGGATTCTCGGGAGCTTTACTATTATGTGTCTTGCTGTATTTTTCCTTTCATCATGGAAGTTTGGTGTTCTTGCTTCTTGTATGTCTATTTTCAGCTCCTTCTTCATGTTTGGGAAGTTCTCTTCAATTATTTCCTTGAATATTTTCTCTGTTCCTATGTTTTTCTCCTCTCCTTCTGGGATTCCTATAACTCTTATATTTCCTTTCCTCCTGGAATCAGATAGTTCCCGAAGTCTTTCTTCATTCTTTTTCCTTTTCTGTTTTGGTTCTTTTTATTTCTGTGTCTTTGAGAGTACTTATTTGTGCTTCCATTTTATCTATTCTGCTTTCACTGCTTTTCCCAGAGTTCTTTAGCGCCTCCATTAATCCTTTGATCTCCTGCATTTCTTTCACTTCCCTCTTTAGGGACTCAATTTCATTCTTCTGATTGTTGATTATTTTTCCCTTATCTCTGTTTTCCTTTATGACTTCTTTCAGTTTTTTAATCATGGCAATTTTAAATTCTCTATCTGGAAGGCTCAGAAGTTCTTCCAAGGCACTGTTGTTGCATTCTGGTGGGTGATTTTCTTTTTGTGGAGTGTCTTTTCCCTGAGGACTTGCTTGATTGCTTGTAGTTTTTCTTCTCCCTGCTGCTTGTTTTCTAATTTGTCCTATGTGTTGGGAGACTGTGTCACTGGCCAGCATCTTTTTGGTGTGTTCTTTCCGGGATGTCGGAAACTGGTAGTCCAATTGAGTCAAAAAGTGTTATGCTAGAAGTCTAGTCAGGCAGTGGTATTATGAATATGTTAGTGGTCGCTGTCACAGAAAATTTCCTCCTGTGTTTGTTTAATTCCGGAGGTGGGTCTTACAGTCCCACAGACTGCCCTGTCCATGGCTGGAACACCCACTAGGCTCCAAATCGCTGGATCCTCCTCTGGACTCTGACTGGCAGCCAGATGTGGCCTGGCTTATGGGGGCTTTTCAGCTGAACTCTGGTTGTGGGTGGTAGGTGTGAACTTATTCCCCTAGACATACGCAATGTTGTAAACCAATGTTAGCTTAATCAAGGGGAAAAAAACCCCAGAAAGAAAATATCAGTAATAGCATGATAAACTAACCGCAGCCAATTAAATTTGTTTGCCATCTACAAAATTGTTTTACTCTGATGCTTCCTTGAAACCTCAACAATTAATTGTTATCCACAGTGTTTTACCTTCAACAAAGTCCTTTCTTATTCCTACAGAAAGGACTTCATATACTGTGTGCTTAAGCATGCACTAAGTATAGTGTATACTTAAACAGCTTTGAGGCTTTACTAGTAGCTAAGTTGAGAAGCTACTGGGTTCTTGAAATTGCTAACCAAAGAACTAGTGGGAGAAGAATTAATTATGTACTATCAAATGAAGTTATGAGAGATGATTGCAGTTTATGTTTGAAATGTTGATGTTGTACTATATCATGTTTTAATTTCTCAATGTGTGAAGGAACCCTTCCTCTTAAACCATTCATAGCTTATAACAATTTAGTAGACTTAGCTTTCTAAAATTGAAATTCAGTGTTTGTAAATGAAATCTTAATTTCCAAATCAGTTTTAAATATTAGGATCTCCTTTTCAGTAGGAGTGTCAATTTTTCTTCCTTCTGAGCTTTCGTTACCTAACTTTTTCATTGAATAACCTCATGAGATCACTATTATCAGTTGTGATAATGTCTCATCAATTCCCTTGTTAACAAGATCTTTTCTGAATTTCAGTCACACATGAGACACAGACATTTCCAACATATGTTGATTAGATTTTCAACACATGCTTATGAGTTTCCCAAATGATATTCAGGTCTTGTTTGGTGCTACTGTTTTACTGAGACTTTCTATAATAAATGACTAATCCAAAATTATTAATTAGCAATATTATTAAAACCAAATTTTCCAGTCTGCTCAGTCTATGGATTTGTGACTTAAATTCCCTCTTTCTTCTCCCAAGCACTTTAGGAAGCTCATGTGCAGTGTAAATGTTTGAATAGTTTTAATGATGTTGTTTTTGCTAGAGATGGGGCTGGGAGTGGAGTTAACAGCTGGGGAAAGGGAGGAGGGTTTCATACATACTAGTAGTTTAATATGCATTATGTAATATATCTCAAAATGAAACCATAATGTATATAAACACATTTTATAAAAAGAGTTTTTGCAGGGCCTCCCCGGTGGTGCAGCGGTTGAGTGCTGGGTTGCGAAACTGCCTGCAGCCTCTGCAGCACTGGTTTGATCCCCGGCTGCTCCCCGGCCACCAGAGGAGGGTCCCACATGGCGCGCAGACCTCTCCTGCTGCCCGCTGCTCCCCTCAGCAGTGTGCTTCAGTCCTTCTGCCTGCTCTGCTCCCTGCTCTGGCTCTGGTGAATTCTCTCACCCTCCCGCGCTTCTGACTGTACCCAGTGCTTGTATAAATAAATAAATAAATAAATCTTTAAAAAAAAAAAAGAGTTTTTTCAAGGTCACACAGTCACAAAAACCCAACTGGGATTGAAAACTTCTGCTGTAAGTATAGAGCTAGTCAGTAGTCCATGAATCATTAGGAGACCATTAAATCAATTCAGTGAGTAGCATTATTTTAAAAGGGAACCATATCAGAGTAGAAAACATCATCAGACATTACATGGTAAGGAAAACTATTATTTAATGAAAACAAGTTTATTTCATATGTATATGTATACATACATGCATACATATATATGTGCATATATATATGTCACTCAACATTACCTCAATTAATAAAAATACATTTTAAAAAAATTAGTTAAAACAAAGTTCCAAATTCATAGTGTGGAACCTCTGGGTTAACCAAAATTATTTCTGCATTAAAAATTTATGCTAACATATAACTCTTGTAGCCAATGGTGTATGTGTATATGTGTGTGTGTGTGTGTGTGTGTGTATTTCTGATAAGAGTACATTTTGCCATCGGACTTTTTCAATTCATCACAAAACTCTAAAACAAGGAAGAATTCTAAAGAGTTTCACAGTGAGGTGTGAATTGGACTTCAAGTACAAGCAAGAGATTACACTCCACTTGTTGAGAGGTTGTTCTGGAGTCATACAAATGAATTTCAAACCCAGGCTCCATCACTCCAAACCCTGGGCAAATTACTTCTCAGTTTCCTCTACCAGGAAAGTAGTAATAATAACAGCAACTAACTCATTGTAATATGTTGGGATTAAAATGAGATAAACATATAAAGTTATTATCAAAGGATTTCATTATAGCAAAAACTTAATAACTTTTAGCTAGTAGTCTATTACTTCTGAAATAGTTTGAAGACATTTGCAGAAAACAATAATTTCAAAGGAAGTCCTAAAATGTTATAGGCAGGAGAAAAACCCTTAACTTTAGTGTCAGACATGTTAAATCACTCTTCTCCCACAATATGCTAAACGATAAATGAACATTATCCAAGTTCTACATTGTAAATAATTGTTGGATGATCTAACATAGAAGGGAAAGGGAAGAAAATGGTGTCTTTCTGCTTTTTCTCTTTATATTCAAATATTCGTGTGTTAGTTGAACCTTAGGAGTTACCTTGCTGAAATTTGAAACTGAGTCCTGAATAGGGAAGCCTTAGGGAGACTGAAGGAAGGAGCAAACCACTCTAGATTGGTAGGTGGTGATGTTAATAAGCAAGGGAACCTGCATAGTGAGAATTGTCCTGGATGGCCACAGAAACAGGACATCTCTGCACAACCCATCGGAATCTTAAAAGTTTATACACAGGCTTTAACTGGGTTCAGTCCTGCATACAGGCCAGATGGTCTCTGCAATACATTACACTCTCAAGACTGCATCTTTAAACAGCTTCTAGAAGAGTGGAATGGACATACATTCCAAGGAAATGGGAGGCAGGGAAGGTGCATCCATTGAACAGGTCCAGCTTTCAGGTTAGCCATGATCATAGCCTCTCTATGACTTCCTCCAACACCATTAAGGTATAAATTAGTCCTCTACTTAATCTTTCTATTCTAGGTTAACTGACATAAATAAGAGGAAACGAGTCCAGAGTTGGAAATAGCATAGCAAAGCTGAATTTCTACGCTGAAACACAGACCCTAAGAGTTGGCACTCCTGACACTATGTTTTGAAAATTACTCACACCTCTGTGCATACCTTTGATGAAAGGACTTTTGATATTGCAGGATATTCTGGAGCAATCTATGTTCCCAATGCAGAAGGGCTCCCTGAATCTCCTGAGGCAGAAATGGGAATCCACCGATTACCAGAAAAGTGAGTGTTGTCCTGGTGGCAGCCGGTGCAGACTTTTTCAAGCTCCAGAAAGCAAATTGCTTGAACCTGAAGGAGAGGTAATGCCAGAACCTGTAACCCCAGATCCTCCATGTCTGCCCTTCAGTGTAAGAGAAAAGATACTGAGCTCAGAGCCTATAAAGAGGGGCCTTGAGAGCAAGAGTAGCAACTCCAGGGAACACAGCTGGCCATCAGTGCTGAAGGATGACTTGTTGAGTGGTCGGCACCGGATAGAGCACTTCTCCATTGCCCTTGATGAGCTGAGGAGTGTGTTCGAGGCTCCTCAGAGTGGAAACAGATCACCCGGACCTGCTGAGTATGTTCGAAAGGTAGGGAACCATCGAATAAGAGCTGAAGTTTTTAGCTTGCCTTTTATTTCTGTGCATGTCATTTTTTTCCCCCCTCACCTGTACTCTTGACAGATGTACTGAAGCAACCATGTAACACAGTATGAAATGTGGCTTCCTCTATTACTGACTTCTCTGTGGTCTGTTCAACTTCATTTCATTCCCACAAAAACAGCTCCGATAGGTCCTTTTAGGTGGGTGTTTCTTTAATTGTGTGCTTTGTTTCCACAATCAGGTTGTAAGTTCCTCAGATACAGGGACAATTTCTTAACTATTGTTTGTGCTTCCAACATCTTGTAAATGGCTGGGTTAGTTAGTGCTCAATGAGGATTTATCAGTAATGATAGTGATGTGGTACAAGGGAAAGCTTGTGATCTACACTTTAATCCCCCAAACTGCCTTTTACTTCTCTACTACTTGGCGCTTAACCTTGCCAATGTATGTCTTAATCAGATAATTTGCAAGGATATTTTGGGGGATTGTTGGTAATAAGTTTAAGTCACTAAATATATTTGGAATATTTTGTCACAGATAATAACCTTGCCTCAGTCATTATGGTGTACCATAGTGTCACACATAAAATATAGCTATTAACTAAAAGGAACATTTAATCCAATGTAAGAAACAGGCTTAGCAAAGTTATTAACAACCATATTTATATTTCTGATGACAATTAAAGGCAACTGCTCTTTCACCTGGAATTGTTTGAATTTAATGCACTTATTAGCACCCCAATGTGAAGCAAACTCGGTGCTTTATTAATTTTTTAGACCTAGTGCCAGTCATCACGAAGGTACATTTTCACTCTTATTAATGGATAATTAGCCTTCACAGAAGACATCACAGGAAAATTTTTCAAAATAATTTATTTTGCTAATACCAGCTCTCAATTTTGCTATTGAGACATAGATAGTTGTTATAATGAGATAATTGTTATGTAGCAAATAACTTGATTTTATCAGAAAAAATGTATATGATGTGGGCCTCCCCAGTGGCGCAGCGGTTGAGCGCTGGGTTGCGAAGCTGCCCGTGGCCTCTGCGGCTCCAGTTTGATCCCCGGCTGCTCCCCGGCCACTGGAGGAGGGTCCCACATGGCGTACAGACCTCTCCTGCCACCCGCTGCTCCCCTCAGCAGTGTACTTCTGTCCTTCTGCCTGCTCTTCTCACCGCTCTGGCTCTGTTGAATTCTCTCACCCTCCCGCGCTTCTGACTGTACCCAGTGCTTGTATAAACAAACAAACAAACAAACAAACAAACAAATAAATAAATAAAACATGCCTCCATAAAAATAAATAAATAAAATAAATAGATAATAAAAATTTTAAAAAATGTATATGATGTTTGAGGTTATGTTGAAGAAAGAGGATTTTTTTAAAATATGCAGTCTTTCTCATCCAAACTTGAGGTTTTTCTTTCTCTCCTTTTTACTCTACAAATGCAATCCTTTTCCTTTATAATATCCTGTAGTTGGATAAGTAGGGATTTGGGAAAGTTTAACATAGATTTTTAAATTTTCTTTTTTTTATCTTAATGAAGAAAAGTAAAGTTACAGAAAAACAGTTTCATTCAATCTCTCTTGAACTTTGTAACAATTTTGGACTTTTACCCAGGATAAATGACAGAAAAAATGGCCAAAGGTTAAAAAAAAAACAGTCATCATAAATTCTGCAATATAACCCATCCTCATCTAGAGCTGATATAGCTGCTTAAATGCAGTAGTAAGATGAGGGATTAATAAGGATTTCTGGTTGAAATGTAAAATTGCTGTAATTTGTATGGTATGTGATTTTGAGTTTAGTGCCTATAAAATTGATTATAGAAAGAAGCAGATATATGAAAAATACCAGTGGGTTTACAATTGTGAAATTTGGTAAACATATTTAATACACTGTGTTTCAGGTATCCTCAGGTATGGTATTTCCCTAAATGGGTGAAATGTGGGCAATTCGAAATTTCTAATCTGTATATGACTTTAGAATCAGTTTACTTAATAAGCATTAGAAATGTTTGCAAATTCCTCTATAGGAATTCCATGTGACTTCCAGAGAATGGAGAAAAAAAATGAGAAGACAATGAGAAATTAACTTGTTTTTTTTCTGATGAAGTAATTATGAAGTAATTAGTAATTAGTTAAGCATGAAAATTCTTGTTCAACTGAAATTGAAATTACAGATTTTACACCAAAGCATAACAATTATATACCACCTAATCCTTAACCCTTTTTTTGTTTGTTTGTTTTTAAAGATTTATGTATTTATTTATACAAGCACTGGGTATAGTCAGAGGCACAGGAGGGTGAGAGAATTCACCAGAGCCAGGACGGAGAGTAGAGCAGGCAGAGTGACGAAGTACACTGCTGAGGGGAACAGCAGGCGGCAGGAGAGGTCTAAGCGCCATGTGGAACCCTCCCCAGGCTGCTGGGGATCGAACTGGCGCTGCAGAGGTTGCAGGCAGCTTCGCAACCCAGCGCTCAAGCACTGCGCCACCGGGGAGGCCCAACCCTTAACCCTTTCTATAGATCTTTTTTCTTTTCTCTCATATTAATATTTATTCTATTATTATATAGTAATAAGATAATATTTATTTGAATAAATTAAGCAAAAATATCCTAGCTACTTTATAACTAGGACACATTTATGGAGCCACTTACTGAGATATTTGTGATGTGAAAGTTATTCAATATCTATGATATTTAAAGCAAGGACAGAAAATGATTTCAGATAAGGGACATTCTTACAATTAGCAAATAATCTAAATAATTATAAACAATTAAATGTGTTTTAATGTTACTATAGAGGGTAACTCTTCAGCAATAGGCACCTTTTTAGAATAAATTTTATGAACTTTTTTAATTTTTGTGTAGAACAACTGGGGTGTAGGCCAGAAGTGCTAGGGTGAAAGGATTTACCAGAGACAGAATGGGGAGAAGAACAGGTGGATTTACTGAAATACGCTGCTGAGGGGAGCAATGGGAGAGACAGGAGAGGTCTGCTGTGCCAAATGTGGGTCAGCTCCCTGGCCAGGGTAGAACTTATAGCACTGAGACTTAACCCCAGACCACCAGGGAGGCCCTTATGAACTTATTAGGGTTCAGTCTAGAGTTTACAGAAATTTTAAAGATGAACAGTATTTTATACATTATGTATATAGTTACATATACACCTACACACACATATATTTGTTTAAAGCATTTTTGGAAAACAGAACTAGGTCTTAAAATATTAAAAAGTGTTCATTTAATGATAGTTTTTGCTTTTAGAAAATACTTGTCAATTGGAAAAAGAAACTTAAAGTCAATAGTATTATTTCTATGCCACGGACCAGCACAGCGATGGACGATGAGGCCGTGTCAGGGTTGAGAGATTGCGCGGGGTGGTCAGGGATTCGGCTAATGACAAACAGACACACTTCAAGAGAGTGAAAGTCTGAGTGTAATTTTATTTAAGTTAGTGGCCAGTATATATATGTTTTTTTAAAGGCATAGGATCAGTTATTAGTGAACTAAACCAGTTGGCTCATAGGTTTACTTATCGATGACAAGGCAGTGATTTATGTCCAGAGTTACATTTGGATCTAGGCACATTCCTAAGCAGTCAGATCATTAGTTTTGTCTTTTGTTTTATATAATTACATTTTCTCTTAGCTAACCACTAAATTCATTAATTATTATTAATTATAACATGTGCACTTATTTTTATGTAATAACACTTTTTCATTAAGGATCAAAGCTAAGGAATTTTAACATATAACAGAGCAATATTGAACTAACAATTTTGTTGTTACACAAGGCTTAGTGGTGTTTCATTTGAGTCATCCTTGTTACTAGATTTCATATGTTTCTTTAATTTAGCAATCAATGACCTTTATAGAAGAGAAGGAAGAAGTTTTAGAAAGAGAGTGAAGGGATAAAATTTGTAGGTTTGAGGAGACGAGATAAGGTTCCTTTTGGTCAGCATTCTTGTGGAGGCTTCTTGTGGTCGTTATCTTTCAACAGGCTTCAGTCTTATCTATGTCTTCAGGGGGGTTTGCTGTTCTCCCACTGTGCGCTGGTTCCTTGCCCAGCCGGACCTAGGGATGGTGGCGAAAGCCATTAGCCCTAAAGGTCACTGCAGGGGGAGGTGCAGCATTTCTATAAGTATGAAAGCTCATTAAAGAGATACAGACTTCTAAAAAAATATTCAGTTTTCCAGAGCCTTTGTTAAAACAATTTATCCTAATAGAATTACAGTAGAAAATTAATAAATCCTTATAATTTTCCCTACTGTCATTTTATTATTTCCAAAGAGGTTCTGTATAGCATCCTATTGTTATCATTTCTAAAATAGCTTACATGGGCCTCCCCTGGTGGCATAGGGGGTTGAGCGCCATGCTGTGAAGCTGTCCGCAGCCTCTGTAGCACTGTTTCGATCCCAGTTGGCTGGCGAGGGTCCCACATGGCGCGGCAGACCTCTCCTCGTGCACCCGCTGCTCCCTCAGCAATGTATTTCATCAGTCTGCCTGTTCTGTTCCCCACTCTGTCTCTGGTGAATCCTCTCACCCTCCCGTGCATCTGGCCTGTACCCGGTTCTTGTATAAATAAATAAATCTTTAAAAAATAAAATAAAATAAAACAGCTTACAAAAGCAAGTTAGAATCAGCTTTTCAAACTAAAGATTATTATGCTCATAAGGCAGATTATAATTCACAAACACAAATTCACATAAGCATTATCCCAAATAAATGGTGTGAAACATGACTTTTAAAAAGTTCTTAGTAACTTGTAAGAATCTGTTATCAGAAAAAAATTACTATAGATGGCAAAAATATCAGTTAGCATTTGCTGTGTAACAAACCATCCCCAAACTAGCAACTAGTGAGCATTTGTTATTGCTCACAGACTTTGTTGAGCAGAGGTCATCTGATCTTGGTTAGTGACGCTCATACAACTGCAATCAACTGCCAAGTCAGCTTCAAACTGGCAATTTGAGGCTGGTTACAGAGTT